TTCCAGGCTAGAGTAATGGGTTCATTAAAAACCACACACATTTCTCCAGAAAGCATGCTGCAGCATCTTTATTCAGCCATGGGCTAATGAGGTAAACCATGCACGTGCAAACATCTGCAGAGCAAGCACTGTACATGATTGTGTGGCATTCAACTGTATCCCAGCCTGCGCTGGTTTTTTTTTTTTAAATAAAAATACAGTTCCAGGCTAGAGTAATGGGTTCATTAAAAACCACACACATTTCTCCAGAAAGCATGCTGCAGCATCTTTATTCAGCCATGGGCTAATGAGGTAAACCATGCACGTGCAAACATCTGCAGAGCAAGCACTGTACATGATTGTGTGGCATTCAACTGTATCCCAGCCTGCGCTGGTTTTTTTTTTTTAAATAAAAATACAGCATTTGAAGTGTATAGCAGGCAAACTGTAACAGGAAAAATAGATTCTTTCCAGACCCCCAATTTCTGGCATAAATTAAGGTCAAGAGAGGCTTGAGCGAGTCTGTTTATTTCAAATGACAATAATCGTCCATGCTCTAAAATAATCCTAGTTCTTAAGTACCTGCTAGCATTTTTTTAAAAACTAATATTTTTGTGTCGTAGTAAATTGCCTCAGCCCAGAAAACTGTGCCGCTCAGACCTGTGAGCTACGTATCACACACATCAACCACACCATATGGCCACACTGCACAGACATTGTGGTCAAAACCCTTGTCCTGTGAAAGAGGCGTGAACTTCCACTGCTTATTCATGTAAAACAACCATTGACTTCCATGGACATTTTGTCTCTTTGGCCTCGTCTCTACTTCCGCGGCGACAGATGCTCTGGAAATCGATCTTCCGGGATTTGATTTAGTGGGTCTAGTAAGGGCCTGTTAAATCAAACACTGACGGCATCCCCTGTCAACCTCCATTGGGACTCGAGGAGTAAGGGAAGTCGGTGGGAGAGTTTCTCCCGTCAACTTCCTGCAGAGGGGATAAATTTGAGATAAGGTACGTTGACTCCAGCAATGCAATTCTCCTAACTAGAGTTGCGTATTTTAAATACAATTTCTCACATAGCATAGGCGTGGCCTCACTATGGGGTGCAGGATCGAGTCCTTAGGAGCATGTCCAGACGCAGACCTTGTGTAAAAACAAGGCAAAGGTATAAAAACCCAGTTTAGCTGCTATTTAGCAACGCACTTAAGGTCTAGCAATACTTATCTCCATCAATTTACCTAGTGTGTAAATTGAGCTTATTTACCAGGATGGGTAGGGATGGTGTCCCTAGCTCTGTTTGTCAGGGGTTGGGAATGGACAACAGGAGAGGGATTGCTTGATGACTACCTGTTCTGTTTGCTCCCTCTGGGGCACCTGGTGCTGGCCACAGTCAGCAGACAGGATACTGGGCTAGATGGACCTTTGGTCTGACCCAGTATGGCCGTTCTTATGTTCACTCATTTAACTTTATCCACTGTAAATAGGTCCATTGACTTCAGTCAGACCATCTGCTGTGCAACAAGTCAAGTCCACGTGTCTTGGCAGGAGTGTCATAGTTTGGTTTTTAAAGTATTCAAGTTGATGGCTTCGTTGTAAGAATACAACAACCGGCATGGACGCATCCAGCGTGACCGTCATGCATAATCCAAGCTCTGCAGTGAAGAATACTAAGTGGGTATGAAGAGAGCAAAAAAGCACTTACAATGTTGAGGGTGCACGTGTGACTAGAAGAGCTAAAATACATTAGGTGTGGGATTTCCCAAGCTGGCCTAATTGACGTCAGCAAAGGCACTGGCAAAATTCCTACTCTTCTAGCTTTGCCCCAATTGATGTCAATGGTTACCATTGACTCCAAAAGAAGCAAAGTTAGTCCAACACTTAAGAGCTTTTGAACATCTCCCCCTAGAAAATAAGAAGCAGGAATTGCCACAGAGATCCCCCAAAGGGATCACCGGCATATGCACAAGGTGCCCAACCATTTAAGGGTGTAATCAGCCAGGTGTAGAGCCGGCAGGCCGCCGCTGAAGGCGGGCAGTGGGCACTCGACAACGATATGCAACAGTCTGAAATTGACCACAGGAGGGAATGCCTTCTCTCTCCCTTTGCTAGCCGTCTTCGCCTGTTGATGGAACTTTGACAGTCGGAAGAGGAAGCCACGCTCTCCCCTCTTAGCCGGAGGGAGCATCGCCTTAACAGCACCCCTTTTGCAGATGGGCCCTTTGCGGATTGGCCAAGTGTCACGAGAGAAAGTGGAGGGGATGTACAGATCTCCAAAACAGTAGGGAATCAGACAAAACAAAAACAAACCCACCTTGGCGGGATTATGTGTCTGCTATTAGTGGTTGCAGAAACAACCCTGCTGTCCCAAACACACAGATAACAATGAACACCCAAAGAAAGACCCGGTCTATCACCATCGCCACGTATTTCCAGTCATCTTCCACCTACAAGGCAGAAAAGAAAAGATAAACCGCATTCAATCTACTATGCATGGGATGGGTTTATTTGATCCTGTGATGATAATAATTTTACCGTGTAAGGGGCATCTGAGCTCCGAGAAGCAGACTATACACATGCAATGCCATTTAGAAAAATGACTCCTGATTGCCTCAGTTTCTGAATGCTCAACTGGAGGGGCTTGATTTCCTGAGGTGCAAGCTCCGTGCTTCAGGGTGTCGAACACTGGACTCTCAAAAGTTACAAATGATTTTTGAAAACTCTTTCAGACTGAACTGCAAACCCTTGGACGCATTTGTAGCATCTTTTAAATATGCACATCAGCTACGCACAACAGAGCCATGCTACAGGTCAGCATTAGCAGCAGATTCTGGGTTAGCTACACCCATGTAAATCCAGGTTAACGTTGATAAACAGGAGTGCAGAATTCAACTCGACTTGAAAGCTGGGAGAAACAAGGGGTGTAAGAATCCATCTCATTAGTTTAGGGTTCGGATAAAAACCAAAGAAATCTCAAAAACCTCAGACAAAAGGAAAGTGTTTATTCCAATCTTCTTACTAAGGCAGCAATTATAAATTATAAAATAGCAGCAATTAGTCAAATCCCATTCCCGGTTACACAGTTGGGGAAATCCAGTGCAGAAAAGGGAGTAAATTCCTTCAGATTTCTACCGGTGTAACAAATTAGAATTTGGCAACTGATTCAAGAGAGAGTTCACATCTGGGACCCGGTTCACCACTGATATTCTGGTGTTACTCTGCTCTACACTACAAGTCTGATTCCCCATTTTGGACTGAAACTGGAGGCGTTAGAGCAAAGTTCTTAAATGGCTGAGCCAAGTGTGTGCTCGCGTGCTTTCCTGAATCGAGACCTAAGTGCTTTCAGGACAATCAATGGCTGTACACCCCTCACGGATGTTATAGCCCTTCAAAATCCCGCATGAAACCATCTCCAGATAGAATTAGCGACACCATCACATTGAAATGAAAACTAAGCAGCAGCATGTTGCGGTGCGTTGGGGTTCCTTTCCATCCTGCAGCCCCGTAGCAGCAAGAACAGACTCCACCAGCCAATAGAATACAGAGGGGTTATCGCATCTCTAGGATACAGCACAGCACAGACGTGATGCCTCAGACCCCCTTGAGATGGGGTGCCTGGACCCTTAGATTTCTAGCCCCCTCCCTAGCCTGTCATGGTTCCAGCCCAAGACTGCTCCTTACTCCGCACACTCACTTCCTTAGTTTCCCCCGCTGCCCTCAACCGGTCTGACCGGTTGGGTTTTTGACCTAGGCAGCCCACCTGCTGGGCAGTGCTCAGAGACAGAGGCCAGTAGGGGTCAGCCACAGCCCACAGTATAGCAACCATCAAGGAACTGACACTACATCACAACATGTGGGTGAGTCAGTGGGAATCACACATCACAGCTCAGGGGGGCACCGGGTCACAGAGCAGACAGCCCCCCACTACGTCACACAGCAACACTTACGTAGGGCCTAAGATTGGCCCGTGTGCTGTTTTGCCTCTGCTCTAGTCTCATGATATTTCTGGCCAGCACATTAACAGTCCCTATTGGCCCCCACATGACAAAGTCCAGGAAGGATATAAAACACAGAGAAGCTGTAACCAAGCCAAACTGGCCATGAAGCCCTTTGGAGGCCCATTTTTACTAGAAATAAGCTGTGGAATATTAATTTTTGAGTGTGGCTAATGCTGTCCTTTTAATACAATTTTCTCCTTTGTGCCCCCTTCTCTTTTTAGCATCCTTCTCATTTTTAAATGCAGGGTTGTGGTCGCCGGGCCGGCCCCAGACAAGGTGGGCAAGGTAATTTGTGTATTGGGCCCACTTCTGTTGGTGAGAGAGTTTTACTAGAAATAAGCTGTGGAATATTAATTTTTGAGTGTGGCTAATGCTGTCCTTTTAATACAATTTTCTCCTTTGTGCCCCCTTCTCTTTTTAGCATCCTTCTCATTTTTAAATGCAGGGTTGTGGTCGCCGGGCCGGCCCCAGACAAGGTGGGCAAGGTAATTTGTGTATTGGGCCCACTTCTGTTGGTGAGAGAGACCAGGTAAGCTACACAATCTGCTGCCTCTCGCGTTCAGCAGTGGGTCTGGGAGCACCATCCCCAGCCCCGAGGAAGAGCTCCGTGTAGGCTCGAAAGCTCGTCTCTCTCTCCATCAGAAGTTGGCCCAATACACGACATTACTTTACTTCACCCACCTTGTTTCCTCAGCCGGCTGGCACTGTGGAGATGCAAAAACAAAACACCTCATGGATGGGGCCCTCAACGGATAAGCAGTAAAAAAGAGACACCTCACGCGTGTAACTTGGGGAGCTCCCCTCACACTCCAGCGCCGGGGGGGCGAGGGAAGGGCACAAAGGCTCAGTGCTTTCCCCTCAGGGCCAGATTAACTCTTCCGGAGGGCCAGAGGCTAGTAGATTTTGTGGTCCCCATCCAGGCTCTGGGACGGGACCAAAAATGAGGGGCCCAGTATATAAGATAGGGCTGTCAGGGAGTGGGCTGGGGGTGAGGGGACTGCGAGGGAGGGAGGTACAGGAGCAGGTCAATGGGCATGATGGGGTGGAGCCTGCACGCACTGCAGGGGACAGAGCTTCCCTGCCCTTCCGTTCCCGACATGGAGACACGTCCTGCCCCCTGTGACTGCAGCACCAACACCAGCTCTCCCAGCTGCAGGGGGGCTGGGTCAGTCCCCATCCAGCCCACGGGCTGTAAGTTCCCCACCCCTGAGGTAAAACTTGCCAGGAAAGAGACAGTGAGCCCACTCTCTGAAAATCAGGCCCCTTTTCAGGCACCTCAGGCTAGGCCCCAGAAATGGAAATGCCCCAAATCATTAGTCACTGTGGAAAATGTGGGCCCATGAAACTATATAACGTACTGGCAAGGGTCCACTTAGAAAATCAGAACAGATGTGTATTGGTGGGTCCAGACAGCAGATTTTTAAACACAGGGACAACAGTGGAGCCCTAGATACCACCGCGGGGCTACTGGCTCCTAGCCCACGCAATCTGGGAGCTGGCAGCCCTTTGTGGGGGGCTTGGCCTGTGGATGTTCCCGGGGACTGGTTAACTGTTATTCAGTTAAGGGTGATGTTAACCAGTGACCCGTTCACATCCCCTGAGGGGAGTGGAAGGTTCACAATGTTGGGTGCTGGGAAGAAGCCTCTTACCTCTTTAGTTTCGTTTTGGCTCCTCATGTTTTCAGCGATGAACTGAACATTGCTAATGACCTCTCTGACTTCAAGGCAGTACTCAACGTGCTCCGTCTCCCATTTCACGGGCTGATGGCTGAAGCTTCGCTTGCCCATGGCAAGTTCATTCACCTTTGCACAGCAGCAGCATCGCTGCTCACTGTATAATTTCACGTCTCTGTGTTGCTTCATCTTGTCAGCTTTACTGGCCAACCCTTTCTTACTCTTTTTAGAGCCGGCTTCCTTCTGCTGCTCTACCGGCCTGGTCATCATCAGGACTTTGGGCAGGAGCTTGAGAAAGACGCTTTTTACCCATTCGGGCATGGTGTGGGTGGTGGGGGTCCGGTAATGAATGTTGAGCACAAACACCGTGACGACAATCGATAGGGTGACAAATATCATGGTGAAGAGCAGGTATTCACCAACCAGCGGAATTACCAGCGAGGTGGACGGGATGATCTCTGTGATCACCAACAAAAATACAGTCAGCGAAAGCAGCACGGAGATGCACAGGGTCACCTTCTCACCGCAGTCGGATGGAAGATAGAAGACTAACAACGTTAGGAATGAGATGAAGAGACAGGGGATGATCAGATTAATGGTGTAAAACATGGGGAGCCGTCGGATATAGAAGGAGTATGTAATATCGGTATAGATCTCTTCACAGCAGTTATATTTTATATCATGTTTGTAGCCCGAAGCATCAACTATTTCCCATTCGTTGTTTTCCCAAAGGTCATTCATGTCTACTTTGGAGCCAATAATCAGAAGGTCAATTTTGGCTTTGTCATATGTCCAGGACCCAAATTTCAGTGAACAGTTCTGGTGATCAAAGGGGAAAAAGGTGATATCCATGGGACAAGAGCTTTTAAAAATAGCAGGTGGAGTCCAAGTGATCATCCCATCAGATTTAAGAAGAGCTTTGGTCTTGCTTTCGACTTGAAAATCCCCCACCGCACTAGAAACACAAAGGAGACAGTGAACTGTATGAAGAAGGAAGTGAAACAGCATCTTCTCACCTCATCTCATAAAATATATCTTAGCGCTGGAAAAAGTTCAGAAAAGGGCAACAAAAATGATGAGGGCTTTGGAAAGGGTGCCCTATGAAAAGAGATTAAAAAAACCTGGAACTTTTCATCTGAGAAAAGCTATGAAGAGAGATTAAAAAAACCTGGAACTTTTCATCTGAGAAAAGAGGAGACTAAGGGGGGATAGGATAGAGGTCTATAAAATCAGGACTGGTGTGGAAAAAGTGAATAAAGAAAAGTCATTTACTTGTTCCCATAACATAAGAACTAGGGGTCACCAAATGAAATTAATAGGTAGTAAGTTTAAAACAAACATAAAGAAGTAGCTCTTCATGCACTACACAGTCAACCTGTGGAACTCCTTGCCAGAGGAGATTGTGAAGACCAGGACTTGAACAGGGCTTAAAAAAGAACTAGATAAAATCATGGAGGGTAGGTCCATCAATGCTTATTAGCCATGATAGTAGGAATGGTGTCCCTAGCCTCTGTTTGTGAGGCTGGGAATAGGTGACAGGAGAGGGATCACTTGATGATTCCCTGTTCTGTTCACTCCCTCTGGGGCATCTGGCATTGGCCACTGTTGTCAGACAGGACACTGGGCTAGATGGACCTTTGGTCTGACCCAGTACGGCCATTTTTATGTTCTCAGGCACCTTTGGAAAGATGGCAAATAAAAAAAATGCATTATACTTGTTATACAAGACAATGTCTGGTTTCCAAATTTTATCTGCTGGCACCCGGACAAATTCAATTCCGTCGTATTCCGTCGGATTCCATCGCAATTTATAGTCATTCCAAATCTAAAGGAAGGAAAAGGAACTGTATCAAGCCATGCATTGCATCCCTACATGCTGTGCCTTTGCTTTCTTCTGGCATGCGACACCCAAATCTTCAAGCGCTAGCTGAAAACACCAGGCTTAAGTCAATAATCGTCATGCATAGAACACTGCTCATGTTTACTCTGTCCTCACACGCATGGGGAAGCAGGCTCTAACTACTGTGAATCATGTGTCTGTCTTTTGGCTTCCTGCTGCTCCATAGCCACTAGCCCTCGGTGAGTCCAGTGTGGAGATCAGATTGGAGATTATGCCATTATGTTCACAGTGCAGCCTAGAGGCCCGACCACAGTCAGGGCTGTAGGTACTCAAACAGGACAATCCCTGCCTTGGAGGTCTGCCAGTCGGCACAGGAAGGCAGACGAACACAAGGGAGGGGAAGCGATTTATCCAAGTCACCCAGCAAGCTAACAACTGAGCCAGAAATGGAACCTAGCTTTCCCAAGTCCCGGCCTCATGTCTTTTGCTGAAACATGCTGGCCTTCCTATGGGACTCGTGGCCTCTCATTTATCCCTATTTAATGGGGGAGAGAGCTTTGTCTGGGCCCAGCAAAAAATGGCTGGGCTTTTCAAAGCCGCCTACAGGAGTTACGCATCCAAACCCCATTAAATGTCATTGGGAGTTGGGCACCTAAACATCTCTAAGTGCTTTTGGGGGGAAAAACCCACCCCACAGTCCCTCTGTGTACATGTAACATCAACATGGGGAACCTGAGACCTCTGGATCTTAGTGCATGAGTCTCTATTGCTTAGGACAGACAGGCAGGCAGACAGGGCTACGGAAATTTCCTTGCTCCATGCAATGTAGACCTAAGTCCCCAGTGCACACACTGCGAGGACGATGAAAAAGTTCAGTCCACAGTGTGTGGTATAGGCCTCTGTTGCATCTCTAACACACTGCAACAAAGCACATGCCCACGCACACCGTCACAGCACAGCTGATGCAAAACACACGTGGAAGCAGAAGGCTGACACTTACTAGTCTACTCACTTTTTACCCTCGTACAGCCGAGAGGTAAAAGTTGCTTCCTGAATTCTTTCAGTGGAACAAGTATTTTCCTTTGCTGGCAAAGGTTATTTTGATTAGACCGATGGGACAAAGAGGCCAAGGGTAGGCCCGTTAGCTCTACAAGCGTGGGTCTCCCCAGGAAGGAATGGGTATCTTGTTGTGTGGCACCCCAGTAATTAGCTGTCTGCGCAACTGGGGAGCACAAGCTAACATCTCCCCAAATGTCTGGATAACCGGCGAAAATTTGATGGCTCTGCCAAGCATCCAAAATTATTGGCTTCTGGATGAATCAGGGATTTAAAATGGCTTGTATGAAACTATTTATTTCTGTGTGCAGAGCTTCTTATTTCATTGTCCCTACTGCATAGGCGAAGCCCAATGATAGGAAATGTAATGCACAGTAATACACTGGGTGGAAAATTACACACAATGGAAATGGGAGCGCTCTTTACATCATTTCCAATACTATGCTACTTAGATAAAGAGATGTCAATCTAACCAAAGGTACATCCGAAATGCCTTGTAACCTAACGGCTGATCTATGCTACATCTTTCAGGGCTACGGAAATTTCCTTGCTCCATGCAATGTAGACCTAAGTCCCCAGAGCACACACTGCAAGGGCGATGAAAAAGTTCAGTCCGTAGCGTGCGGTGAAGGCCTCTGTTGCATCTCTAAGATACTACAACAAAGCACATGCCCACGCACACCGTCACAACACAGCTGATGCAAAACACATGTGGAAGCAGAAGGCTGACACTTACTAGTCTACTCACTTTTTACCCTCGTACAGCCGAGAGGTAAAAGTTGCTTCCTGAATTCTTTCAGTGGAACAAGTATTTTCCTTTGCTGGCAAAGGTTATTTTGATTAGACCGATGGGACAAAGAGGCCAAGGGTAGGCCCGTTAGCTCTACAAGCGTGGGTCTCCCCAGGAAGGAATGGGTATCTTGTTGTGTGGCACCCCAGTAATTAGCTGTCTGCGCAACTGGGGAGCACAAGCTAACATCTCCCCAAATGTCTGGATAACCGGCGAAAATTTGATGGCTCTGCCAAGCATCCAAAATTATTGGCTTCTGGATGAATCAGGGATTTAAAATGGCTTGTATGAAACTATTTATTTCTGTGTGCAGAGCTTCTTATTTCATTGTCCCTACTGCATAGGCGAAGCCCAATGATAGGAAATGTAATGCACAGTAATACACTGGGTGGAAAATTACACACAATGGAAATGGGAGAGCTCTTTACATCATTTCCAATACTATGCTACTTAGATAAAGAGATGTCAATCTAACCAAAGGTACATCCGAAATGCCTTGTAACCCAACGGCTGATCTATGCTACATCTTTCAGGGCTACGGAATTTTCCTTGCTCCATGCAATGTAGACCTAAGTCCCCAGAGCACACACTGCAAGGGCGATGAAAAAGTTCAGTCCGCAGTGTGTGGTGAGGCCTCTGTTGCATCTCTAAGATACTACAACAAAGCACATGCCCACACACACCGTCACAACACAGCTGATGCAAAAGACACGTGGAAGCAGAAGGCTGACACTTACATGTCGTAGCCAAAGGTTGGTTTCCATAATCTGATTGACTTCATCCTAGAGAGAAATAAATAGATGTACCCTTCTCATTCCCACCCATCAATTACCACATCCTTGGAGAGTTCCAAGATAGCCCAGTACAGACAGACACCGGCACACCGTGTTAACAGTTTAATCAGATTCTGTACTTCTTGTATTGTTACCTCAAGAAAGTTCTAACCATCTGAGTCTTGAAGATTACGGCATTGTGCCTCTATAATACACAAAGAAAACAGCAGAAAAAGAAAACTGTCTGCACACACAACATCAGCTAATTTGCCTGTGCAACCACTCGGGTTCCACATGCAATTGCTGTGATTGCGCGTGTACATTATGTGCATGCAACAGAGTCTAAAATCAACACCCATGTATCTATTCTGTCATCAACCTTACCACATTTGCAAGCTGTGTAATTGCCACTTCAAAATAGACTGTCACAGGATCCGATACATTTTCCACCGGCCTGATGAAGTGGTTGTAATTGGTGAAAAGTTTCTGAAATAATCGTTCTTCTGGTTCACATGCTGAGCAACCTGCATTGACAAAAATTAGCAGCAAGCAGTTACCGAAGAGGCAGGAAACACAGAGAGAAAATTTCAGGCCTGATTTTCACCGGGTCCGCCACTCAGCCTCCACGTGTGAACGCACGCTTGTGGGGTACTAACACCTATCAAAATTGGTGCATTGCGAAGAGGGCTCCTTGAGATAGCAGATAAAGGTAGAGCAAGATCCAGTGGCTAGATGCTGAAGCTAGACAAATTCGGAATAGACGTAAGATGCAGCTTATTAGCAGAGAGCGTGTACAACTACTGGATGGCTACACACTGTCTAGGGAGGCAGAGTGTAACCCAAATGTGGCTGTCAGGCTGCAGTTATACACTCTGGCTCTCACCAGCTTGGGTTTTACTTTTGTCAGACTAACTTCCACTGGTGAAGGAAACAAGCTACCCAGCTCCACACAGCTCTTCTTCGGGCCAGCTCCGTCCATCTCTGTCACCGACAGAAATTGGTCCAGTCCAGACTATTGCCTCACCTACCTTGTCTCTGTCCTAACCCGGGACCAACCCAGTCACAACAGTACGGCACAGGGCAAACGGTGTCACTGGGGGACGGTGCCTTTCTTAGGTGCCGTTCCAGGCTCGGCTCCTGGGAATATCAGGCCTCAGGAGACGTACGACCTGTGTCTGGCTCCCTGACCGCAAGACTGCCTTGGAGCCTCACTTGGGAAATGTCTAGCCAGCAGCTGCTCCCGCCACTCTTCAAAAGGGCTGTAAAAACGCAACTAGGCTGGCTGCCGCATCTGAATTGCGGCCCCGGCTGCCCCCTCTGTCAGCCCGTCACGCTCAAGCGCCTCACAGTCAAGGCATGTCCACACTTCCTCCTGCCTTCCTCTCTTATCCCTCCGCTCCTCTGCTCTTTGGGGAGAACTGGGGTGCCCCAACACCTGGCAAGAGGAGTGGGCAAGCATGTAGACAGACAGATGGCCAGAGCTGACAGCAAGCCCGCTAGAGTTGTTCTCAGCAGCTGTAGTTGGAGTGGCCAGGGCATTGCTTGTGGGAGTGGGCAGCCAACTCCTTCATCCCACCCTCAGGACTCGCCCCCCACCCCCTCGCTCAGTCACTGCCTCCTACCAACTAAATGCAGCCTCTTTTTCAGCTCTCCTATCTCTCGCGCACCGTCCCGTGAAACCAGGCTCCATGGAGTTCGTAGGCAGGAGGATGAGCTGCTTGTCAGATCCCCCTGGGGCAAAACTCAAAGTTTCCCATCACAGTTTCATAGGCCTAAAAGGAAGAGCGAGCAAAAGCAACATCTGCCCGCCAGAGTGTCGGAGATTAAAGCGGCACAGGCATGAATGAGACCATGTTTGGAATATTCCCAACAAAATGCAGGTTCTGTTGGCTTTACAATGGTCCTTGCCCTAGATCTAGACGCTGAAGTCACATTTTGAAACAAGGTTTTGTTCAGCAGATAGGAGTGAGGAGCTCTGCCCGAGCCAGCGTTCCTTCATTTTTCAAATCTGTCTCAATTTTAAAGCCCGTTTTATTTGTACCGTTTACCTTCATGCTGTAGCAATTCACAGCACTGGAGTCCAGGTAACGACGGCAGGTTGGATTTTTCAAAAACTGCCACGTCCCATGGGATCACGAGTCTCTTGGAAACTCAGTGGGTTTGTAAACATTTGAAAACTGCACCACACAACTGATGCGAAAGGAATATTTAGTGAGAAACCTCTAACGTGCGGAAGCGTTCATGCAAAACATGCACAAAAGCCTCTATCTCCAGGAGTTCTGTGGCTTCACACGAAACTATTTTATTTCCTATTTTCCATGATACTCTCAAGGTATTTTCTCATTGAACCAAACCAGAGAGAAAAGAACATGTAGTCCTGTGGCACCTTAGGGTGCGTCTACACAGCACAGGTATTTCAAAATAAGGGCCGTTATTTCGAAATAATGCGTCTACACAGCCATTCCGTTATATTGAAATAATTTCGAAATAATGGAAGGCTTATTCTGAAAACTGTAAACCTCATTCCATGAGGAATTATGCCTATTCTGCAATAGCTATTTTGCAACAGCAGTAGTGTGGACACTGCTTCTATTTCGAAATAGCTCTTCTCCAGGGTCATTCAGAGTAATTACTCCCCAGAGCTGCCTGAGCCTCTAAATCAAGGTAGCGTGTCCAAATCGGGGAAGCCTTCCTCAGACTCATTTTGAGGCTCCCTTTCGTGCTATTTCAAAATAAGCTATTTCGGAAAAAAATTCCAAAATAGCTTATTTCAAAATAAGCATGATGTGCAGACATACCCTTAGAGACTAACAAATAAATATATAGTACCATGAATTTTAGTGGGAGAAACCCACTTCTTCCGAGGAGCTGCTCTTGAGTGAAAAGTTACATGATCAGAGTGAAAAGACACATGCTTTTCTTTTTTTAAAAAAGCGTAGCTTGCATTCTTAAAATTTGGTTTCATAAACAACAGGTTTTGGAGCCTGGACTTTTATACAACTAGGTTATTTTATGTTAAACAAGTGGTTAACACATTCAAACGAGCTGAATCCAGGAAAATAGGAGCAGGAAGAGGTAACATACATTTCCCAGAGACAGGATAAAAAGAAACCTACCTTTAAGCAAGGACACGAACGCATAAGCCCACAGACAGAAGCTGGAGCAAAGAAATCTTAGATACGTCTGGGAAAACATCGTCCAAACAGGACGACAACTCCCTTTGGAGAAGAACGGTTCAGAAAAGCAAAGGAACAGGACCCAAGATGCATATGACCCTCGGTACTTGAATGATCTCGGTGATGGAGAAGCGTCTTTCAGTTCTGCATTTGAGGCAAAATCTGCAGCCGGAGGATCCTTACGAACAGTGCACTGTGTCTTTTCCTACCACCGGGAGAGGCCGGCTCTTGCTCTGTGCAGAAAAGGGAACCGAGATGATCCGAGTCAGATGAATCATTGCGTTTCCAGTCTCCCTCCACCCCTTCCAGCCTGCGTGTGATTCGAGCAGAAGGGGAGCTGTGAGATTCCTGCCGGTAAGCCAGACAGCACCTCCACTCAGCCGACAGCATTCGCCCACAAGATGCAGCTCTGGCTGTTCTTAGGAGCGGCTTTTTCACAGATCCCGCACGTCCAGGGGGATTTGCAGATGAAACCAGTTTGCTTTTCTAGAGGGAGAAAGCTTTTCTGCAGATGTGAGATCACCAGGGCTCAATAATCAGAAACCATCACGACTTTGAAACTGATAACGATATCGCCGGCTATAATTGTGCATTCGTTTTCTAGTTCTTCATCCTAAAACGGGTATATCATCAGAACCGTTTTTATGGAAGGCTAATGCCTGCCTTGGGCTAGGCTTTTTCCAGACAGTCAGAAAGATGGTCCCTACCCCAGAAGCGCAATTTCAAGGCCCCGCTGTAGTTTTATACAGTGGAGCTCATGCGCCACTAAACCCTGGAGTGGATTATTGAAACAATACTATTAATTTTGCATTAGTGTGTAGCAGCTGTGACTGAAAGCAGGGCTCCATTACAGCATATGGTGTATCTCTACAGCAGGGGTGGGGAACTGAAGGCCCGGGGACCCTTGGGTTGCCTGGATCTGGCCCCTGAAGCTTAGGGCCTTCCCCAGCACTAGGGAGCCCGTGCTGGCCCTCCGGCCCGCCTGCCACCTCTCTGCGGCCCCAGGCCCTGATGATTTTTCTGTGGGTCAATGACCCCTGAACCAAAAAAGGTTCCCCACCCCTGCAATACTGCGTAGGAGACAGCCCTTGCGTGGGGCCCCGATCCAGCAATGAGGTAGAATCATGGAACCATAGAGCTGGAAGAGACCTCAGGAGTCATCAAGTCCAGCCCCCTACCCAAGGCAGGACCAATCCCAACTAAATCAGCCCAGCCAGGGCTTTGTCAAGCCGAGACTTATGGCATGTATGACTTTATAGCCGATGAATAATGCCAATGAGTCACACACCCCACCCCCGGCACAGATGAAGCATGTGTGTCTTTTTTGCAGGAGACAGGCCATGGAAGGGCTGGAGAAAACCGTCATTTTACACGTGAGAAACTGAGGCACCCCACCTGGATAGAGGCACCTCTATGTACTCACTTCCTGCCAGATGGTGGTTCTAAAAAAGCAGCCCTGCTGGGTGAGGTTCATCCAGTCGTTTATAGTGGATTAAACGACCACTCCCCACCTTGCCCAGGGATGCAGCAAGTCTGAGGCCCTCTCCGAGCTCTCCCGGTGGGTGGATGGCAAACAGCTCCCCAGACTTGCTGGGTTCCTGGCTCACCAGATTGCCGGGCTGCTGCCTGGGGTCCCAGTCCAGCGAGCTCGGAAAATGTTTGGAAGACTCCATTTGGGGTTCTCGGAACGAATTCTTATTGAAACTGTTCCGGGGGACGTTTTGTGTGTCCACCTTTGAATTGGGGGTTTGGATCGGGTCCCATTTACTGAGAGATTAAAAAGACTGGGGCTTTTCAGCTTAGAAAAGAGGAGGGGATAGGATAGAGGTCTATAAAATCATCACTGGTGTGGAAAAAGTGAATAAGGAAAAGTTATTTATTTATTTATTCCCACAATATAAAAGCTAGAGGTCACCAAATGAAATGAATAGGCAGCAGGTTCAAAACAAACACAAGGAAGTTTTTCTTCATTCAGAGCACAGTCAACCTGTGGAACTCCTTGCCAGATGATGTGGTGAAGAGTAGGACTGTAACACTTAAAAAGGGGCTAGATAGATTCATGGAGGTTAGGTCCATCAATGGCTATTAGCCAGGATGGGTAGGAATGGTGTCCCCTAGTCTCTGATTGTCTGGAAATGGGTGACAGGAGAGGTTCATGTGAGGATTACCTGTTGTGTTCCCTCCCTCTGGGGCACCTGGCATTGGCCACTGTCAGCAGACAGGACACTGGCTTAGATGGACCTTTGGTTTGACTCAGTCTGGCCGTTCTTATGTTCTAATTCGGAATCAGAATGGAAAAAAGTCAAAACTCCCTGGTGGCTGCTCTCCAGACCACAGGAGAGAAAGATACAACCGGGGCCTCCTCAGAGCGGTGGCGGCTTTATTCCCATCGTCCTCCCCCGGCAGGTGGTCTCACGGGCAGCTCCCATGTGCGTGGCAGGCTGAGCCAGGTGCCACCTCTTCCCTGCAGCGCAGGCCCGAGCAGCAAGCCGAGCGCCCGTGTGGGCAAGGGAGAGTTGCCAGGAGGGCGTGGAAGCTGGAGTTGCTGCAGGAGAAGCGGGAGGACGCAGGGGTGCTGGGTGCCACCCCTTGTGTTGCCACTGATTCGCTGCGTGACTGTGCGCAACCACGTTTGTCTGATGGCCCCTAGTTTGTCTTCCCTCATCCCTGCCCACACCGCTCTACAGCTCCTCACCACCTCCCTTCTGTAAGTTCTCCGGCCATCTTCCTCCCCTCAGCCCCAGCAATTTCCACCGCCTCAGACACCCTCGCCTTCCGGGCTCCCCCTCCTCTGCCTCGCCTTCCTCCACCCCGCCTCCCCATCCTCACTGCCTCCTGAGGTGCTCCTAGCCTTCTCCTTGTCCTCAACATCAGCCCCACTTGGAGGGTGAATTCAAGTCAACTTGCATTCTTGCTGCTGGCGGGTGCCCACTTTGGGAATGCCACACACCGGTTCTGGCCTCTCTGTAAACTGACATGCCCAGAGAATACAAGGTTGACAACATCTGCAAGAACAACAGAGTCAAAAATCAACATGCCCACTGGCGTCCAGGGGGTGTGAAACACTCACCCTTCTGTTCATTTGATGGACAACTCAAGCCATTACATGCAACTACAAATAAATCCTCTCCCAACACTTTCAATTCTGTGTTCGAGATTAGTGGCTTAAAAGGCACTTCAGTTATAGCCAGTGGAACTGAAATTAGCCTGCTCTTCTATACAAAACTTTCTTTGGCATACTCACACTTCCTTGGTCAGAAGTCTATGTCTCTTCTGCATGAACGCACATTGAGTTGACCTTCGCTTCATAGACATCAGCTCTTCTGAATCTCAAAAGGGAAACTGAGGGTTTAAAAAAAGCGCACACACATCCCAAGAGGAATATAATGGAAATAAACCACCAGCTAGGCACAACATAACGTGATGCATTATTCAGACTTCTGGCCACTATAACATCAATAATTTAAAGACCAAACAGACTTGAGTATGTGTGCTTTTTTTTAAGCAAATATTCACTTTTACATAGGCATAATGATGTTAAAATTCCTGGGGATATTGCACAATCATGTCTCTTAAGAGACATCTAATGTTTCCTAAACAGAAAACAATCAAAAGTACATAACTAAAATAGCACAGAGAGAAATATCCTATTTAGACAAAGTATTCGAGATTAATAGCAACGAGCCCAAGGAGCAATAGAAGCATTTCTTTCCGATGAAAAGCAGAGAGACTTCTAAGGGAGGTGTTGCAGGAGAATGATGGGATGGAGAATATGCAGTAAGAGAGTCCTGAAAGTGACATGAGGGCAAAGAAACCAAAAGCTGGTCTTGCCAACTATCTTGAAACTAGGGCTGGATAAAAATGTTCCTTTCAAACCACTTGTCAGTGGAGTATTAGGTTTGCAACTACACTACAAGTTTTCACAAAAACTGGCTGTTTTCCAGGGAAAATTTTGAAAAAAAAATCTTTTGCCCAAACCCTGAAAACTTTCATTTTCAGAGAGGACAAAAAATTGTTGTTTTTGTCAAAACTATCAGCAGAAAAACCCCAATTCTGCTTCAAACAACAGACACGGAGTGGTTAAATAGAAAAGACGCCATTTATCTGGGGACTATTACCTAATCTGACGGTCTCACAACACTCACCGGTGGGAAGACCGCAAGGAGGTTGGAAAAGCAGCCGCGAAAGACAGGAGTTTCCAGGGAACTAAGGGTACGTCTAGACTACCGCGTTTTGTCGACTGAAGTTTTGTCGACAGATACTGTCGACAAAACTTCCGTCGACAAAGAGCGTCCAGACACATTGAGTTCTGTCGACAAAGCAAGCTGCTTTGTCGACAGAACCCCGTAGTCTGGACGCAACCCTACAGGCAATAACACCTTCTGTCGACAGAACTCTGTCGACAGAAGGTGTTTTGCCTCGTAAAATGAGGTTTACCAGTGTCGACAAAACTGCTGAGTTCTGTCGACGTTATGTCGACAGAACTCAGCGGTAGTGTAGACGCTGGTATAGTTTTGTTGACAAAAGTCCACTTTTGTCGACAAAACTCGGTAGTCTAGACACACCCTTAGAAACACGCTACAAACAAGCAGGCGAGAGACCAAACCTGTCTCCAGATGGGGAGGGAACTTTGGCTCAACTCAAGCCTTGCTAACTGCCTGACACAAACATGGCCACAGAGGAGAGGAACTCGACACAGTCGCAGATTGTAGGAAAAGCTTCCCTCATTATCAACAGGGAAGAACTCACAGTGAAGAAATGTGAATGTGCTAAAACCGTCACTTACAGCTCATACCTCATGCAGCATCTGGAGCACAAGAACTCTGTAAATGGATGAGGAGAAATCCCAGCAACCCTGAATGGGATTTTGGCCTTTGACGTCAACAAGGCCGGGATTTCACTCTGCCTTTCTTTGCCGCTGTTTCCTTAGTAAAGCTCAGGGAGTCCCGCGCAGTGGCGCCATACTGAAGGAGTCCATGTCGTTGAAAACCCAATTCCCCATGGAAAGACCGTTTGGATGTTTCTCACCAGCCCTTCCTGCTATGGAAATGTGCAGTCTCTCAAGCGGCGTCTTAGCAAGGAAGGTTAAAATAGCTGCTTTGTGCTGCGCCCAGCTCTTCCCGCCTCTTCTGTGCCCTACCTCAGTCTCCCCTCCTCCTGTTCCAGACCCTTCCAGTCCACGCAAAATGCTGCTGGGAAGGTTTTCTTCTCCCACCCATCTAACCCCCTTCAAGTCGCCCAAATCCAGCTTCCACTGAGTCAACAAAAGCCCTTCCTCTTGTTGGTCCCACTCTCTCCGGCCTTCTGCATAACTTCCAACTATGCATCTTCCTCACCTTCCAACCTCTTCATCATCTACTCCTGCCTCCCTTCAGGCCCTAGCCTGTCACCTAACCAGCAGCCTCAGATCACCGGACAGGCTCCCTGGGCAAGTTTCCTGGCTAGACAGTCTCAAAGGACTCTCTGTCCTTGGGAGCAAGGGGGGGCAGAGCCATTCCCAGGCTCAGGTACCTCAGAGCAGGGCCACTTTTTGTCCAGCCCGTAAAACGTTAACTCTCTCTCCCCTCTAAAACAATGTATGGGGCTCACAGGGCAAGGTGAGGAATCTTGCACTGTCCGTTATGTGGACAAACCAAGGGTCCCGCCAATAGCACCTTCCCGCCGTTGCCAGAACTACAGCCTATGTTTTTAAGCAAGGAATGATTTCAGCCTGGGCACGCAAACACAAAGGAACTCAAGCTCTAGAAGTGTTGCCAATCCGTGCCATTTTGGCCCCCGCTGGCGCCCCCGTCTCCTCTTGTCCTCCAGCCCCGTTCCATGAAGGGTGGGCCTTCTGCTTTCTGCTCCTCCGCCGTCCTGCACAGGCCTGGCCGATGGGAATAGCTAACTCCTTGGAGGAGAGACCCCTTCTGTACCCGGGCTTGGGAGGGGTGTGACGTACTGCAGGAGGGGTGGGGATGCCTGGGGCAGGGGGAGAAAAGGACAGAGAATTAATT